AGATATTTAATTTAATTTTTTTAATTTTTTTTTTTTTGTTTGTGTTTTTTTTTTTTTTGCCTTTTCTCTGGTCATCTCTCCCCACCTCCTACCTCCCCCTTCCTGGCCCCCCCACCCCCATTCCTTTGATCCCCATCCTGAGGCCTCTGGGTCTGGCCCTTTCTCTGTTTTGACACTCAGGGCTCCCTCAATTGCCCTTGTACCTTGTGGGCCTCAAGGGACCTCCAGTGGGTTGGCAGTCCCTTCTGTGGCCTGTGGTCCCCTCCGGGGCTTGTGGGTATCATTCCACATGTTCCACCTCATGCTCAAGCACAAGGAGCTCTAGGGGCTGCTTAGAGACACCGTGAAACTCTGTCATCTGAGGTCTGGGGTGTTTACCCTCTTCTGGAGAAGGCAGCGCTATGATGGACACTGGATGGCCAGTATTTCACAACCACTCCATGCATAAGAGATCAGGAAATGGGGCCCAGCAAGGCAGATGGTGGAGCAACCAAGGCAAATGTGAGATGGCACCCAGACCTGGGCCGCTTGTCTTGGGAGGTAAATGGTTGATGCCCAAGGTAGGAGTTGGGGGCTGGCTAGAGCCTGGAGCATCTGGAGCCTCTTCTAGGCTGGCTCAAACCTTCTATTGTGGCAGGAGGGCTCTGGGTTGGGGGAGTATGAAGCTCCACTAGATAGCCCTGCTGCCCCCAGATAGCAACAAGCCCCCTGGCTCCTTTCCTTCCTCTACCCAGAGGCAGGACCCAAGTGCAAATGCTGCCCTGCACATACTTGTTTTAGGGATTTTTCTTAACTGCTCCATGTTTCCATGTCTCCATTTATAACAGGAGTCTTAGGTGGCTGTTAGGGGGGTTATATGAGTAAAACCTGTCAGCTGGACAGTGCCTGCACATAGCAAGTGCTCAGTAAGGGGCATCAGGGATTGTCAGCCTCTGAGCAGAACTTTAGAGCAGCCCTTGGGCTGAGAATATGGGTGCACCACTCCGTAGGTGAGGAAACTGGGTGAACCTTTTAAGGCCACACAGTGGGAAGATGGCAGGGCTGGGCCTGGGACCAGGCCCCGACCACCCCTAGGCCTTCAGCCTTGCCTCACATTGCCATCCTGTCTCTAAGGGAGCAGACTCCTTGGGGCTTCCTGGCTGTTATAGTATTTGTCAGTCCAGGGCAGGAGGGGTCCACTGGGCCACTTGCTGTCACATACCACTGCACACAGGATAATATGGCCCAAGAGTTAGGAGATGCAGGCTCATACCTCAGACTTCCCTTGGATGGATTCACTGGAGGACCTCAGGCAGGCTCACTACTCAGTCTCAGTTTCCCCTGACATTACTCAAGTGATGGTTTATCATGATTACACCGAGGCATGAGTTCACGAGTGTGGGCATTGTCATTGTCTCAGGTGTGCTACATCCTCAAAACCACACAGGCCAGCAAGGCAGAGGTGGGCCTGAGTGCACAACAGCTGTTGAGTAGCTACTTTGTGCTAGGCATCAGCCCAAGGGCTTCCCACAAATTATCTCATTGCCCACAACAAGCTGAAAGGTGAGAACTATTGCCAACCTCTTCTAGCAGATGGAGGCTATCAGGCGTTGAGTTACCTGTGCAAGGTCTTGCAGCTTCTTGATGATGGATGGGGCTTAGATCTGCCTGCTCATTGAGCAGTGCCCTTTCTGCTGCACCAAGCTGCCTGTCCATGGCTGGCAGGCTGGGCATGGTGGGGGCAGCTGTCCTGCAGGCAGAAAGCTGGAGTGCTGGGAATTGAGAGGAATGAGGAGGTAAGGGGTAGGTAGTGGGTATTAGGTGGGGGTGGCTGTGACCCTCAAGTCAATGGGTGAAAGTGTAGAGAGCGTGGCCCACAGAGAGCACCAAGCAAATATTTATTGAGTGATAGTTTTCTGTAGGGCCTCAGGCTGGGGTGTGGGAGCTGGATCTGGTCCTGGAGGAGGAGGCTAGACAGGTGAGACCAAAGGCAGGGAGCTGGAGTCAGGGACCAGGCTCTGGTCCCTGAGAATAAACTGAGTCAGAAGCCTCCTTGCTCAAGGAGTCAGTATGGGCAGGAGTGAGAGTGGGGGAGTCCCAGAGGGGGCGGGTCTCGTGAGTGCAAGGCTGAGCTGGAGAGGATGGGGGTGGAGCGGGGAGCTCTGACCCTGGGGCTTCCATGTAGGGTAGGGTGGGGCAGGCAGAGGTGGGGTGGTGGGGTCTGTGCCTGTGCTTGGTATCCCGAAGTGTGGGCATCCACCTGTGTAGGGGCTGAGTACATGTCTGTGTGTACCTATGACTGCATGTATGTCCCTACTGTAGTCATGTGTTCCCCAAACTAGAAAAGACAGTTCTCACCCCAAAGCTCAGGCACAGCCTTGGAACCATGCTCAGTTCTTCTTGTTCTCTCACACTCCACATCTCACCCATGAGCAAAGTTTTCTTAGCTCCTCAAAAGAGATCCCAAATCCGACCCATCTCGCCATCTCACTGCTTGGCTCAAGCCACAGCCATGCCTGCATAGACTATAACAGTAGCCTCCAAGCTGTTTTCTCTCTCGCCTGCTCCTGAACAGTCTAACAGGAGAAGATGCAGGGTGATCTTTTAAAACCATATTCTAAATCAAACCATGTCCTCCCCTGCTTTCAATCTCCAGGGCTTCTTGCCATTTGTAGGATAGATTCCAAACTTTTATCACAGACCAGAAGGCTTCTCTCTGATTTCACCTTGGACTCACATGGGCCAAGCATGCTCTCATCCCAGGGCCTTTACACTTGCTCTCCTTTCTGTCTAAATGTTTCTCCTCCCAGATGTCTCTGTGGTTCACACCTGAGTTAATTTAGGTCTTTGCTTAAATGTCATTTCCTTGTAGAAGTCTTCTCTGACCATCCAATTTAAAGAGCCTTTCTAGTCCCGGTCTTCTGTCCCTGTACCCTGCCTTATTTATTTTCATTTTACTTATTACCAACTGCCAATTATATCCATGTATGTATTTAACTTTTTGTTATGGAAAGTTTCAAACATATACAACAGTAGAGAAACTAATACAGTATAGTGAATCCCCATGTGCCATACCTCAGCTTCAATAATTATCAACCCTGGGCCAATACTTTCTCCCCCACATCTCTCTCCTATCCAGAAAACTCCAGATGTAGCACAATCTCATCTGCAAATACTTCCGTGCAAAGTTAGATTTTAAATGTATCTATTTGTTAGAAGGCAGCCTTTAGGGGAGCTGGTGTTTGTCTGTCTTGCTCACTGCTGTGTTCCTAGAGGCTAGAACAGTGCCTGGCTCATAGCAGCTGACTCAGGATGTCTGTTTAGTTGGGTCTCAGGTCTCCAGGGAGGGTGTGTGTGCAGGTTCTGGTCTGTACATGCCTGTATGAATAGCTGCATGTGGCAGTCCCAAGAATATATGTGTGTGTGCATGTGTGTGCTGCCGCAGCAGCTGGTGACTAAATGCATGCTTCCTCCCTGACATCATCCCCACCCCCTCAGGACCCAGGACTTGCTCTGGGGAGTATTTCTCTCTTTCTCAGCAAGGCGTGGGTGTGAAAGGGTGGTAGGGGGTATGCACCAGTCCCTGTCTCACGTTCTGGAGGGTTGGGTTTGAGGCCAGGATGGCCTGGAGAGCCCTTCTCTGTTCTTTTCTGGCTAGTGGAAGGCTATGCTGTCTCAGCTGGCAGAGAGGGCAGCCTCTTCCCTTCCTGGCACTGAAGCCCAGTGCAGCTGGGCTGGCATCAGCTGGGTGGGGTGTGGGGTATGTATGTATGAGGGAAAGGGCTATCCCATCCTGGCCGACTCCTAAGGCTTCTAGGTTGACCCCTGGGTAGTTGAGACAACTGAGACCACTCAAACTGGGGGCACCTGGGTACAGAATTCTGGCCCAGGGGCTCAACAGTCTTCCCCCAACCCCCATTCCAATTTCTGCATCTTAAAGGTGCGGCTCTGGAAGGTGAGCAGTGGTGGAAAAACATGCCTCCAGCCCAGCACCGGGTTTACTCCTGAGGGCTACTCCCTATCAGATTGGACCTTCTACAGCTTCTCCCAGCCTGATCTCTAGAGCTCTGTCTGCTCCAGGGCCCAGCCTCCTCATCAGTCAGGCTCTGCCCTGACCTCAGCATTCCCCATTCTTTAGGTCACAGCCCAAGCTTTCTCCTCCAGGAAGCCTGTGTTTTGGCTCTCCGTGAGCCCGCTCCTCCCACCCTGCCCTCTTCTCCAAGGTAGGCCAGATGGTCCCTGCCCACCTCACTCCCAACCTCAGGGAGAGTCCTCTGAATCAATGGGGTGGGAGTGGAGGAGGGGAGGTCAGAGCAGGGCTGCCTGCTTCTACCCGGAATTTGACCCCTTGCTGCATACTTCACTCTCCCTTCCAGGACCCAGCAAAGGAGAATGCCTTGAGGTCCTCTTTTCTGAGTGTGGAATACATGCATTTGGCCTTCCAGAAGGACTGAATATTTGTTTAAGCATTAACTATGTGCCAGGCACTGTGAGGGCTGTAATTAATTATAACAATAACATCAACTTAGAACATTCGTTAAGCACATAAAATATGCTAGACCCATATGCTAGGCAGTTCAATAATAACCATCATTATAACAGCACTAATCATATGGTCATCATTTACTGAGCATTTACTATGTGCCTATTATTGTTCTAAGAGCTTTGCCACAAAATGACCCTTTGAAAAAGAGGTCTTGATCAGTTGCACTGTTTTGATAGGTCCTAATTCAGGCAGAGAACTGGGACCTGGGCTGGGGCCTCTGGCTAGCCACATCCAATAGATGCTGGTAGGGATAGGAAATGGGGCAGAAATGAAGACAGGAGGTGGGGTTATAGGCAGAAAGCAGGCAGCAAGCTCCCTCAGGCCTAGATCCATACTCTCTAGGTCAGTTATCCCACCTGATTTAGAATAGGTGGGTGGACTTGCACAAATTCATTGGGCAGACAGTAA